TCCCTGGTCCTTGCACGGCCGGGCTGTCCGGGAAAGTATGGTGACCCGGGCGGCCCAGCTGGTAGCCTAGACGGTGGGCTTTTCCACACTCTCTGAGAGGAGCTCAAATCCGGGCTCTTTTTTTTTTTTTTGAGTGTTGGCTGTCAAGAGGGAAAAAGGGAAGTATAAATTAATTTTGAAGGGGCTACAGGGGTTTTAAGGGGGGTGCCTTAGTGTGATTGGGTTAACTTTTTCTTTATCTTCAGTTCCGCGAGGAATTCTGATGTGACCCTCAGCCAAAAGTTGTTTGTATTGCTATTGCACACAACATATTTTTTATTCTTTTTTTTTTTTTTTTTTTTTTTTTTTTTTTTGCGCTGGGGCTGCCCGGGCCCATGCCCGGCCGGTCACCCGGTCACCAAACCGGGCGTGACATCGGGACCAGGGTGCCCAGGATATCTCCCTAGCTTAAGAAGGCTTTTATTTTGGATTGTTGTAGCCAGGAAGAGGATGGGAGATAAACGGCCTTGGAGACTGCTAGAAACTACCCCTGGCACCTAGCCGCCCCCCCCCCCCGCCCCCCGAGGCCCCTCTATTGCGTGACTCGGTGCTGCTAGGAAGAGCCCCGGTCCGTAGAAGTATCCCCGGGGAGGCCATGGTATGGGAGGTGGGATCGGTCGTAGCAGTCCCCCCCTTGATATGTGACTAGGACCACAAGGGTATGGCTGACCTCCTTTCTACATCTGGTTCTCTTGCTCGAACTCATGCTTGCCGGTGATAATCAACCGGACCGATGCCCCCCAGAATAGAAGGGGCTTTGTGTTTTAAAATAAATAAATAAATAAATAAATAAATAAATAAATAAATAAATAAATAAAATCAAGCACTACTCTCTTCTCTCTGCCACTTTTTCTTTTGCTCACCTTTGCACTCCCTCAATGAACTTGGCCAAGATTACAGATTCAATATGGGATTCTGCCAATGCCAACAGATGATTGAGGCACCTGTTCCATGCCCCAAAACTTCCCAGCCTCTTGGTATGTTTCCGCAGCCGAAGCGCAGCAGTGTGAAGCAGCTTAGCTGTCCTGTGCTGTCAGAACCAGAACCAGTACAGTGGGGGGGGGGG